GGGCAGAAGACCTATTTTATTTGATTTATTTCTTATGCCTGCTGTTTCTAACAGTGAGTCTACAGCGAATCATTCGAAAGATATTTGTTCAAGCAATTTTCCAAAAACATACTCTATGTTTGAAATTACTAAGTTTAAAAATAAAATGAATTAATGAATACCCAAATTTGTGTGCACGAATTTAGGTTCAATCTCTCACTAAACCTTCTTTTGAATTAACAAAAAAATGATGGAAAAAATAACCTAATGATAGAGATAATACCAATATCTAGTACATTAAATAATATTAGTTTTACCGTAATATAGTATATTTCATTATTAATTTAGTTGAAAAAAAACCTACAATAAGGGATTAAAAAAAAATCTGAAATCTTTCAGATTTTATATTACGCTCAAAGGGGCGTTTTTTTAATTTATACACACATACCTTTCGACAGCATTTAGGCCAACGCCCCTTTGGACTAAAAATATTTAAAATCAGCATATCCTTAGAATTTCCGATAGAGAATTGTGCATGCTAGAGATAAAAATATTTTATTTCGCACAATATGCTACCGCTGCTCGCTTTGAAATCATTGAGTTTTAATGAAAAATTCGTTAAAATTTTAAAAATATGAAATAAATAATAAAACGAATCGAAATTCAAAATTCTGGCTTCGAGGTGCCCATATTCGGGAGGAGGACTACGTTATTCAAAATTTGATGGCTCTAGCTATTGTTGTTTTTTCAAAATGCGAGAAAAATACATATATTAACGTAGATTCTTCATTATGTAATTTCTTTAAGTATAACCCAGGTCGATAATATATGGTGGCAACAGTTTGAAAAGTGATAAAGACGTTTATAGTACTTCGAAGCAAAATGTCGTTTCCAGACTAATAACCCTTCTGGGCTAATGCTTCTTTGGGCTAAAAAAAAGGGGGTGGGAAGAAAAAAAGAACATGAGTTTGGTTTTTGATGATATTTTTTCTCATCAATCAGCCACCAAATTTCTTTACGGGTTCCACAAAAATTAATACATAAAATCCCAACCAACCACTGGAATTTGATTTATTACAGATCACTGGAAATATGAAATAATGGAATAATGATGCTGGAAATTCCGACAACATTAACTCAGAAAAAAAGCTTTCTGCCTTGCTTTCTCTTTCATCTAAACTGCGAGTGATTCTGAAAGCTGTGACATGAAAATAAGAGGCACCTTCCGAGTACATTAGTGGATATTTGGACAGACGTTACCGAATGTGGAGTGTTGTTTGTTCCGATAAAATATATGCGGTTTATCACGTTGATAATATCTGAACCATGAGCGAAGAAATGCGATACAAGTCAAATAATTCTTTCAAAGATAACCTTAATAATTTCGAGTAATACTTCTGAGTCCGTGTTCTTATTAACTGAAGTATACCGTATAAGTTATTGCAAAACTGCGAAGGGTATCCAAAAGGGAGCGGCTAGTACATTCTAACTATTATAATTTGCGGAATCTCGGCATTTTCTATTTTTCAAAACTTGCAGCTTGAAATTTTCAGATTACAGTTTAACACCTCCAAAAAAGACTCTATTATTAATTTTGTTTAAAGTTTAAAACTTAAAAGAAAGAAAAGTGTAAAAGTTCATGCATATATTTCTCTTTTTCCTGTAAATAAAAATGTAATTCTCTTGTTAAATCACTAAGCCTTTGAATAAAATTTAAATTCGTGCCAAAAAATATTTCTTATTTATAAGCTCCTGCGTTTTTTCTTGAGTTCCTTTAAAAAAAATGTAAAATAATATAAACAAAAGACTTTTATTTGTATTTAAAACGTATACTTAACATGTATACTTGATTCTGATTCATTATTTAATGAATAATCTGTTAATTCACTTTATGTGCTATCTGATTCCTCTTTAGAGGCACTCTTCGACTATTGATGCGAAGATTCTTAATGTGGTCTTAATTCGTAATGTCGATTCTTAAAGCGTAGTCTTTTAATGTGTTAGAATGTAATGTTCCATCCTGTTAATCTAACTTGTTTATGTTTTGGATCTTTACTATCACTTCTCCTTTCCGGTTTCTCTCCAGAATGCAAATTAGCTCGTATGTATTTAAGCTAAGTTTTTTGTGAGACAGAGCGTGTTCTGTCCCTCAAGGCCATTTTACTGAATTGCTGCTAGTTCAGATAAGATTTGTAGTCTTTGCCCTTGCATTATAATTGTCGATATTTGAATTTCTATGCCGGTTAGATTTTTGAGCCAACTTCGCGTTAAACTGAATAGTGTGCCGCCCAAACGGCGTGATGGTTAGGAGAGCCTACTACCCTATCGAAGGGCCCGGGTTCGAATCTCGGAGAAGGATGGATGCTTGTATATGCATAGTGTCCCGAACTGCATGGAGGCACTCTAAATATACGGGGAGCCGAAAGTCCTCTCGAGAGATTGATGGTAAGGGAAGAGGCGCGTGAGACCCTCGGACCCTGCTCCCGGGGTACGCTGTATCAAAATTGGGGGGGGGGAAGGGAAACTGAACGAAGTCGTACTGTGACCTGTACGGTGCTCAAGGTTGTTGCCAACGACAGGAGCAATCTTGCATTCCTTGCCGCGATGAATTCGAGTTCAACTTCTTCGGAGACGCATCAGATGTTCCTGAAATGTTATTGATGAAATTCCAGCTTGAAATTATTGTTTCCTTAATGTTTACTCGTATCTCAATTTGCATACTCTGAGGTACACTCGGAGATCATACTCTGACAAATGAACTCTACAGAAACAAACAATCAACTATTTAGAATATTTGTTAAACCATCATGTTTGTAGACAAGTTCAAAAAGGATTCACTGTCGGAAAGATGATTGAAGCTGCTTTCAGAATCAGCGCCAGAACCGATTACAACCAGTTCAGCCGCACTGGGCGGCAGAATTTAGGGGCGGGAGGATTTTTAAAATTAAGAAAAAACGTGAGCAGCAGAATTTAAAGCCCGCAGGATTTGTACCGAGCGGTAAAATGTCTAGCACCCTTCCCTGGCTCTTTCTCTAAGTCAAACTTCAGCTTACGAACTCTAACACACATGGTATAATAGAAACTGTATGTTATATGAAAGAACATGAGTGTGGGTTAGACTGATGTCAAAACTGAATTACTACTCAGCAGGAAAAAATCCTCTTTACCACATAGTTCCTCCTGCGTGATTTTTCTATTGAAATAAAGTGCAAATAGTACCCAATTTTGTTCTGCAGTTTCTGGGTTAGTTTTACGCTTTCATCAAAATAGATTTCTCTCTCTTCGGAAATGTCATCCGTTTAAATATTTTTACCGTATACAAAAATTAACTTTACAATTTAAAATTATTTGGCAACATTCTTTTTTAAATGTGGCAAGTTGCATTTTTTGCTTCGATAGTATTGGGTATTTCTGATAAGCTACAATATTGTGATACATCCCAGGGCAAATATATGATGCCTCAAAAAGAGCAGAAATATCCGGACGAAGAAAAATATCAAACTGGAGAATAAAGGCAAATCTCAAACAAAACACCTATGCTTCAATCTGAATGAATGATAGTATTTATCTTTCCTCCTTAATGCATCCAAATCAAACTCGACTGGTCCTTGTCTTTTAGACGAATTTCCCACTTTTTCCCGTAGCACCACGGCAAGTGCAGGGAAAAAAGGCAGGGGTGGGGAATAATAATAAAAAATAGGGCAGGGTAGAATATCTTGCATGATAGATGAGATATCAAATAAAACATCCGCTTGTTGTGTTATCGGGGCGAGCAACTTTTAGGATTTCTTCCGAAAATCCGGACCAATGCTCGTATTTCATACATGACGCTTAGTGTCATATAACACGAATAAGTGTTTGTCCCAATCCACGCCAAGAAAATAGTTCCAAATTTCTTTGCAATGGATATTAAGGGGGGATGTGCTATAACTTTGCCGCGTTTGTTTCAGAGAGCATTCATTTTATTTCAACTCACATTATTCCTGTTTTATTTAAACACATCTCAAGAGGAGTTTAATAGCGTTATAAAATAGATCCAAAATGATTAATCATTACGAACTTTTTTATGTTTTAATATTTTTCACATTTCTTAAAAATATTTCGCATACATATACAAAGAAAGGAAGAAATATAATCATAATGAGTTCCGGTACCAAGTTTTTGAAAAATATCGTTTGTCATGTAATTTGCAATCATTCGGTTAATTTTTAAGGACATAGCTAGGCATACATATGCGTTCACGTTTTAAAATTTGAGCATTAACGGACCATTAAATCTGACATATTTTGCAGATTATTTCATTCTTATTTCAGAAAGGAAACTGTTTAATACATATTTCGAAAGAGTCTTTTAAAGTTTTTCATCCTAAAACCATCGACAGAATTTATCAATATGATTTATTTTATTGAAACTAGTTTTGTAAGGTTTATATAATTTAGATTAGTACGAATATCAGCTGTTTTGCATTAGAATTTTTTTAAATTTGTATCATTGTTTATTTAACATACTGAACTTTAAAAAATCATTAGTAATAGAAAATCATGTAATGAGCAATGAATAAGATTCCTTTTAGAGTGTATTATAATTTTTCATCCTTACATAAGTATCTAAATATTACATATTGTTGCTGAAGAGGATCAAAGACAGTTTTACATTATAACATTTTGAATTCTTTTTTATAAGGAGGTATAACAAAACAGCAATTTTCGTATGAACCTGTAGAGACATTAGGTTTATTTCGGAAGCGGGAGTGATGAAAAATGAGCAAAGCCCTCGCCGGGAATCGAACCACGGACCTCTGGAATACGCGCCCAGCATGCAGACCACTACACTACGTAGACATGCTAAGAACGGAGAAATACCTTATATACTCCCCCTTTTAAAGGGCGACTGAGATTTTTAGGGGACCCAGTCGCCAAATCCTAGTTGTGGAGAATCATCATCCACCACCCTTTTTAGTTCGAGCGCCAGTGTAGAGACATTAGGCTATTTCGAAAACAGGAGGGATGAAAAATGAGCAACGCCCTCGCCGGGAATCGAACCACGGACTCTCGAATACTCGTCGAGCGAGCTGACCACTACACTACGAAGGCATGCTAAAAAGGAAAAAATACCCTACAACCTAAAAAATGCATCTGTAACATGAAACTTACTGAAGGTTACTAGCATGGGTATCAGCAGGATACGTAACGTGAAATGTGAATAAAATCCAGACGACGCAGGTAATCGAAACGTACCAAATACTGTGTAATGAATTCCTTGCAATTCCCATGCTTTCCAAGTTTGAATGTAATTTCATGATCAAATGCACTGAATAATATAATGCGTGACTTAATGTAACATATGTATTAAAAGGTAAGGTAAGATGAATAGTAAATGATTTATTATGTAACCATACCGAGTATTCCATGTAATATATATTATGCAATATAATCTACGTAACTCCACCTTTAATGTATTAAATAATATAACCTATGATTTAATGAATTGTATCCTTATATAATATAAAGTATTGAAAGGTAAGGCAATGTAAAAAGACTATGAAACCTAATATGCAACTATGTAATGTATTCTCCGACTGTGTAATATACTCCATGTGATGCCATGTATAGTGATTTGAATATTATGGTACATGGCATATTGTGTTGTATCCTAACATAACAAATGAATTGAAGAATATATAAGGTTAAATTGTAAGTCATGTATTTGTGTTCTATGATACCGTGTACAGAGTGGTGAATAATTTAGAGTATGATATAGAGAACTAAACACTATGTAACGTATTCAAATGTATTCCAATAATGTAATCAAAGCTGAATTCCAGTAGTGCATTATGTAAAACACTATGTAACTAACAATATGTATGTAGAGTACCATGTACTAAGTACCAGTAATGTACTGTGTAATCTGGTAATATAGTCCATGTCTTCCACGTGTAATGTTTTGTATAAATTAACGTATGATATAGTGCACTGTAGCTAAAAAACACATGTATTGAAAGGAAAATCATGACACAACTATGAAAAGCGAACACAGTAAAGTATAACGCATTTCTTAGTATGTAATGTATACTATGTAACCTAATAATGTAATCCAGTAATGTGTTCCAGTATTATATAACGTACTAAGTAACTAGTATCATGTATGTAGTGTACAGTATACTAAGTGCCAGTAATGTGCTATGTATTCCAGTAAGGCGCTGTATGTGAAAAGCGAATGTAGTAAAGTAAAATGTATTAGATATTATGCAATGTATTCAACGTAATTCCAAACATAGTGTATGGAATAATACATTATTCTGATATAATGTATGTACTCTAATATAATAATCCCCAGTAATTCCATGTACTGTACAATATAATATAGAGTGTAATGTACTACACCCTAACATAACGCATGCATTGAAAGAAAAATATAGAGTGTAATGTAAATGAAACTTAAGATATTACTATGAAACGCGAAATGTAACATAAAGTACAACCTTTCAAGAATAACTGCAGTTATATCCAATGTAACATCACGAAACAAGATATCATTGTAATTTAGCTAATTAAAATATTCTATGTAGCCAACATTCTATGTAACTCAGATGACCTGCATCACAAAAAATTGTGACTCTGTAATCTTCTCTTCTGAAATAAAAATAAATAAATAAATAAATAAATAAATAAATAATGAAAAAAAAAGAAAAAGAAGGAAAAAAAAAAAAAAAAAAAAAAACACCACTCTCTAACAGTCATTCATCCCACTGACCAGGCACAAAATCCGCTTGATTAAACCTTAGGTCCGTAGCCTGGCCAGTGGCTCCCATTCCCACTACAAGGTTTGCTCATCCCGACCAGAAATCTTTGCTAATATGACGTGGCTGACTCATAATTCAAAGCAACTACTTCCTTGGAAAAGTAAATGTAACTGTGTCTTCGGTTTTTACACCTCTTGAAAGTGAAGTGCACTTTGGAAACATTCCCTGTCTATTGATCTTGGACCTTAGTGGCAGCGAGGGTATAACAGGAATTCTTGTTTATATAAATTATAAGTAATAAGTAATGAAGTATATTGGTAGAGTCATTGGGTTTTTCGAAGAAAACATGAAAATCGCGCAATGCTCCAGATGGAAATCGAACTTCGAACCTCCTGATCGCTACTCGGAGGTGCTTCTAGTTACACTACGAAGGTAAACAATTAAGAAGGGAAAAAATAAGTTACTCTCTGCAAAAGTGTAAAAAACTTCTAAAAGGTGCGAATTTTCGAAAAATGCGTTTTCCTTTTGAAATTACCATAGTAATTAATTTTGTGTACTGGAAATATTTCCAGAGTTCACAGTAATTTATAGCTGTATACCAAATTCGTTATTACACCAAATCTCCTGATTTTTAGTCGCATCTTCCGATTTCCCGGTAAATCATCGGATTTATAATATTTAGCCTTTACTAAGGAAACTATTTCCCTGCAATTAATGAAATTTGTTTAAATTAATGAAACTTAAACTGTGTCAATTCTATTACACCGCACCGAGTCATATAATTTTTATTAGTAAAGTTTATTTGGTCAGAAGTGAATTTATATATTGCAGACTTTTGTAGAGAATTTTGTGAAGATTGAGTAAATGATTAATCATCTGATGTATTGTATTTAATTTTGCTTTTACATTAATGATACATTATTAGGTTTATTCTCACAAAAATTTTCATATTAAATATTAATTTTATTGTCACCTTATTAGTCCAAAGGGGGAATTTGGAATTTGCCCAGAAGGGTTATTAATTTCGTTTTGACATTTTGCGTCAGTTCACTATAAATGTCGGTTCACTTTTCATTTTTTGCCACCAAATATTAGAGCCCTGCATTATATTTAAAGAAATTAAGTAACGAAGAATCTGCATAAATGTAGGTACGTTTTCTCGCACAGTGAAAAGCAAGGGTACCTGGAGACATCAAATTTTGAATAACGTGTAGTCCTCCGCCCGAATACGAGCACCTGGAAGCTCGAATTTGAAATTTGTTTTATTGTCTATTTCCTATTTTGTAAAACCTACCGAATTTTTGATTAAAAAAACTCAACAATTTCAAAGCGAGCAGTGGCAACACTCTACGGGAAGGAAAAAAAATAAAAACACTTTTTATCTCCAGTGCGCAAGACTGTATCGGAAATTCTAAAGATATGCTCATTTTAAAATTATTTTGCGATAGAAAATAAAAATTTGAATATTTTCTTTGCGATATTATTTTTTGTGTATGTTTTGATAAATATTTAATATTTTTTATCGTATTAATAAAAATTTTTATTTTATGGGGAAAAAATTCTGGTCAATCGGTGGTTTCTAGGTCTCGTATTCGAGCCGCATGCAGTTTGAGTTCGAGACTACTAACTTATACAACACCCATGTTACAATTTTGTCATTGAAAAAAATTGGGAAATTCAGTTCTTTCCCACCCTCCCTCTTCAAATGCTGCCCTCAAAGGAAAAAACAGATTTTAAGATCTATACATTTATTCTTTGCTTGTAATAATCTCAAGTAATCGATATATTACAAATCCCGTTATTGAACTGAATCAGTCTACTTTGTCTAATTGCTTAAGAAATAAATTTACTTCAGCTTTCTCAAAATTAAGCAAACTGGAATTTATAATAAACACATTACGCGAATGAAGAATATAAGACCTTTTCAGAGAGTAGTTTAAATAATAATGCTAAATAGAACTGTGCCAACATAAGTTTGAAATCATACTGAATTGATTCTAAGTTCATAAAATGGCAAGAACCGTCTTACACTGCGTTTCATCGAAGACTTTAATTCTTGAAATCCGCAGCACCTGAGTATAGAAAAATAGTTGCTTAGTTTTTTGACCGCCCCCTTAATAAATTCGAGCAAATAAGAGCATAATTTCGCACGATGTCGTATATTTGAAGTTAAAATGATGACAGTGAAAAATACATCGTGGTTTGAAGAAGGGGAATTACCCGAGAGGCTGAGGCGTACACAAGAAGAATCATTCTCTCCCATTTGCCATTTATCTACCATCTTCCCTCTTTCTCCATTCTGCAACTTTTACTGTAAGTTTCAGATTTAAGAATTAGGTAATCGTTATAGTTTTGTTCATGACGAAAGAGGGTGATGATTATTAGAGAACAGAAATTTATTTATTGTATACGCTTTCAAAAACTTTGTTAAATTCTTTCTGCCTGAATTTAAGCCCACCAGCGGCCGATAAAGCTGAACACTTAGTTCGGTCTTGTACGGCTGGCTACGTTTTCGTGGTTTTTCAAAAACTTTCCACGAAAGGCACCCCTCCCTTTAAAGCCTCGGTGCTTTTCTTTCTGCCTGAATGTAAATAAAGAAGAGAAACTAAAGCTTGTCACTGCACTGTTTCCCTGACTTTTCAGCGAAAAGAATGATGATCATGGTTTGGTTTGGCTTATTAGATTACGACAAAGCACTCGAGGGCTATCTGCCCTTAAGGGAGGGATGCCTTCGTGGAGGACTTTTTTAGGGAAACTGGCTCGTATACACGTTACACATGGGAAAAACCACGAAAACTCCCATGAAGCCAGCCCGTCCGAACCTCGGACCGAACTACAGTGTTCAGCGACGTTACCGCTCAGCCGCTGGTGGGCTGATGATTATGAATGCGGAGAAATTTGTATGCAATGCATAATAAGACAATTTATAAGTTTATTTCTGCTTTTGGAAGACGTTTTATTTTCCTAAAGGGCGTTAGCCAGAAGGGCTATTTCGCTTTGGCATTTTACGTTGAAAACGTTAAATGTCAGTTCACTTTTCAAATTGTTGCCACCAAATATTATCACCCTGTATTATATTGAAAGAAATTAAATAACGAAGAATCTGCACGAATTTATGTGTGTTTCTCGCATTGTGATAAAACAACAGTACTTAGAGCCATCAAAATTTGAATAACGTAATCTTCCACTGAATATGGGCATCTGGAAGCCCTAATTTGAAATTTGAAAATTGTTTTATTATCGATTTCATGCTTTGTAAAACTTCAACGAATTTTTGATTGATAAACTCTACGATTTCAAAGCGAACAATGGCAACCCCCCCCCAAAAAAAACAAAATCTTCAGCGGGAGG